ATTCATGAGAAAGTTTTATTGTTTATGTACATACGTTTACGTAGTTTCCACTTTTACAAATTGATTCCACGTGCACATGTACTGCATTTAACGCAAATATGTATGCACACATTTTCAGGTATACATCTTAACAAAAAGCATATTTAAGTTATTATTAATGGATAAAAGAGACATTTTCCTTTGGATTCAGTACTAAAATTTGACATTTTAATAGCATTTCAAGTGCTTATCAAAACTTTACGACAAGATTTGACCATTTATCTTAATAGTATTCAATTTTAATTATTTTTTTGTAAAAATACGGTTTATATTTTAAGAAAAGCTGTACTAATTCAAGGTTCAAACTTTGTGCAACATTAAAAAAAACCAACACACTTTCGTAAAAATTTCGAGCTTTTTAATTCGATTTCCTAGATTTATTTTGAGCGTGCGGTTTTTTAACCCATTAAATTTTAATATAACTAAGTTTTTTAAGATTTCTTTGATGAAGGTGTTGCTAGTTTTCTCCATATAAAAAAATCGTCGGACACACTTCGTATGGACATCGTCGACAAAAAAAATGCCAAGTTCAACGGTAAGTCCCAGCTACTTTAAACTTGAACTTTATTATACTAAAATTGAACGGGCTAAAAACTAAAGAATATTAATAAAGATCGAAATTTTTACGAAAGTATGTTGGTTTTTGGATGTTTCGCAAAGATTTAATCTTAGGTTTGTACAGTTTTTCTTAAAGAATACATTATATTTTATAAACAGATAATTAAAATTAAATAATAAAATAAATAGTAAAATCTTGTCAATATGTGAGTGCCGTAAAGGTATTATATTTACGAAAATCTCTTCTTATAACTAACGAAGACTTTGTTTCTATATGAAGCTGACCTCGACATTTTGTTTTAATAAAACTTAGTATCGAAAAGTTTCTTTAAAAATTTGACTAGGCTATATTATACTGGTTCGTTGAAGCCATTTTTCAAAACTTACAAAGGTAAATACGAACAGGCGAACCAAAGAGAACAGAAAAAATTTCTTGCTGTGAATTTTCAGAGCTATATATTTTTAGTATTCATTACAAAATTTTACTAAAAAGTACTGCGTAGTAGGAAAGTATATTGTAAATGAAATTGTATAAAACAAGTACAATTGTACCAAAAAAAATCGCCTCGTCTGAATAGGGATGGCAACTTTTTCACTTTCAACTTCTCATTCAACTTCGTATTCAACTTTTGTTGCCTGTAAAATCGCCTCGTGCGAATGCCCTATAACCCCTTCTCCCACTTCGGTGACCGCGCGTAAAAATCAAATCAGCTGCTCTGCTGATACTACTTGGTCAATGTTGCTTGGTATATACAAAAGTGTTCACGAAAATAGCAGCGCTACGTATTGACAAGTTCTGACAATTAAATTTCCTGTTACATATTTCATTTTAGTTATTTTTTTAATAAAAATTTAGCTTATTTTACTACAAAAACCATACAATCAAATTTTCATCCGTTCCAATTCGTTCTACAAAATTTAACAATGATCGAAAAAATGTCATACAAATTTTAAAACTTACACAAATTTTTTGAAAACTTTCGAGTATGCAGTTTTATAGCCCACTAAATTTTTGCACGTTTGAAGTGACTCAAAATTAACGTTGATTTTTGAGAATTTTTCCATTGAATGTGTTGCGCTTTTTCCATAAAAAGCATGCTAAAGTTTTTTTTTTTATATGGAAGAAACTGAATAGCACCGCACAGTGGGGCAAAAAAGGTTGATGTGGACAAATCAATTTTGACAGCCCAAATATTAACCGACTTCAAATTTCTTTTTTAAATAAGTTATTCAAATTTCGCGTCGATTTATCCGTGGCGATTTTTTAAAAAAGCTCTAGTTTTTTATTTATTTACGTTGAATAATGAAAAAAAAAATATTTTTACGTTTGAATGCTTCTACTTTTTGGAAAATACCAGAAATTTATTTCAAATGTCTGCAATTATCTAAACAATTATTCGTATCTAATTAAAAAATGTATTTGATTTGTTATCTTTACTAATATATGGTACCCTGCCTAAGGTGGGCAGGGTAGTATTTTGAAAGGCAGTAGTTAAGAGATAACAGATGCTCAGACAATTCAAAAACTAGTTGAGCTGCAAAGCGGTTGCAGCAGTATGAAACGGAAGGATTCTGATGGCTATTGCTAACATTAATGCCCATATGTTTAGTATATGTAGGCATGAATTATATGTGTACAGGGAGAACTTAAGGACGGCACCACACAGCAATGCAGCGGAAGTGCGTTTTTCATATTCGTAACTTTCCTCATTCACCAAACAACCTCCCGTTTAACGGCCTCGGAAAATGTTACAGAGTACGCTCGCCAGTGTAAGAAACTTTGGCCAGTTCAAGGGTATTGTTGGTGGTAAAATTACATGTATACAAACATACATACATATCGTCGTTTAAAGTACAAAACCGCGTATGTGAGGTTGCATCAATTATTTTCTAGGGAGTAAAAACACTCATATTTCAAAATGGGTTTTCTTTTTTATAAAGCAATCGCATTACTGGCTAGTATATTGCAGGACGAATGGATAAGGATTGAGCCAATAGCTTCAGTGAGCAAATCCAATTTTTGGCAGCAAATGTCAGTTACTAGGTTTTGCAGAATGAAGATACGCGATTTTGCACTTTAAACGACGATATGTATTCAAGTACGATGACACCACAAAAGGTATTCGAAGAGGTCGGTACATGGACGGGATTTGGCTTGTTATGCATGTTTGATTGAATGTATGTAAAAGGGAACAAGTTGGCGGACAAAATATATATTTTGTTATTGATTGGCCACTGTTGTCATGACTGTAAATATATTTTTAAATGCGAATTTTTTATTAATTTACATACCTTTTTTATATCCTTGATAAGTCAATGAAAACTATTGCTTCTTATAAAAACTGTGCTCATTGGTATATTTAGGCGTTTCACGTTGTCTCCACTCGAGAATTCACCATAGAATTTTCAGCATTATTTATGTATATAGTTGGCTTGAACTTCAATTGTGCCTCGAAAAAGCCTCACAAAAAAGTACGTACTCCCTTGTTTATTTTTTTATTGCGTTGTAAAAATATATACACTAATGCTGTTTAATTT